CCCCTCCTCTTCCTTGCCTCGAGGATGGCCCAATTAGCTGTCTGCCGAATTCCCTCTGGAGCAGCAGGAAACAAGCTTACTCCATCCTAAATATGTCATCCCTTCAAATATTGCCTACCCTGTCCTGGTGGTTCATGGGAGCAGATGGGAAGATTTGGCTGGGTATTGCCATTTAAACAGGACACACATGGGTAGGTTGTGTGGAAAATGATAGGGTGGTGATCTCTAAAAATGGGCACTGTTTGGGTGAAGAATTGGATTCTAGACTGGCTCCTTGGGTTGGATGGAGCTCAGGAAGGGAATTGTCAGGACTGGGTTAATTCTGACATGATATTGTGCTGGGGAATCCTGTTTTGTATCATGTGTTTGTCTTGGAGGTTTTATCTTATATCAAGATGCTGTGGGATGACCAGAAAATAATGGAGGATTAAAGGTGTGTTAACTGGTAGGTATGCAATATACAATGTATTCTAAATGATATGCATTTGATATATAGTGTTATACACAGCTATAGATTTATGATGATTTGACATGTTGTTCTTACTAGCTGGTATGGGGTTTGAAATTGGGTTCTGTTATTTGGGAGGGGGAAAATACAAAATGATTGTATGGATTTAACAAACAGGTAACAAGGGCTGTTGGTTAGCTTACTAGTTATACAGATAGCAAATATGTGATGCCTTTATCTATTTTAAATATGTTAACTACCTAGTCTAAGGCAGTTCCAGAGACAGGGATTGTATTAATCAGGCTTGGTGAATGCTTGGTAAAGGAATGTGTGGAAATGTTTTTTCTTTTTTTTTTCTTTTCAGCATCCAAAGACTTTAGAAGACCTTCATTATTGATTGCTTTAGCAGTTAGGACAACTAAGCTTCCTTGGGAAAGAAAGACACACAATCGAAGAAGAACCAAGTGTTTTGAGAACAGTGAAATATTTAGCCCACGAGTTTTGTGAGGTGGAGCTCAGGCCTTTGAAATCCTTTCATATTATGTGTGTATCCTTGTTTTTCAGATCTGTCCAAAGATGCCTTACTAGCAACTTCTACTCCTCTATGACAACTGAAATAAACAACTTACTGATCATCCATAGAAACCTGATTTACTGTGTCTTGGGGGGGGTGAGTTCAACTTGGGGGCCATTCAAATACTCTTGTTTTTAGTGTGACAATGCAAATAATTTCACTCATGCATTCCAGGTTGGTTATTCACACTATGGAACCCCATTTATGTGCATCTGTAGGAGTTCATCAGTTGCTGACACATGCAAGCATTTGAATAAAGATGGAGTTGATGACACAAATGCATTTGGAACATGTTCAAGGCATGCAGAGTTTTATTTGGGTCTATTCGCATTGGTTTTTCACACTACCGACGATGTGGATCTTTTTTAAAAACTCGGGGGGAAACCTGATATCGATTATTACAGATTAAGTGGGTTTTTTGGTAGCCCTCCTCCACTTAATTGGGTGCATTTGGGATATGTGTGAATAATGAAGATTCAACACAGATTCATCCTGGATTATTTTCACCATCTGAATAACCCCTAGTTCTGACAGAAACACCCTGTGAGACTGGCCCTGGCCACGTCCTCCCTTAAATTTCAGGGTGTAATAGCAGTTGGGATGGGGCAAATCTCCCAGGTTGCAAGACCAGCCACTGGCAGAAGTAACAGACTGGCAGTGGGGCCCAAGTGTCTTGCCCTGTTCTGGAGATCATGGTGGACCCTCACCTCAGCCAAAGATTCTGCAATGGGGAGACTGCACTGCAGATTAGGAGGTTATAAATAGTTAATAAAGTATGTCCCAATTTTATACCCCATCATACATGTCTAGACACTTTCTTCTCAGTGGGTGTGCAAACAGATTCGTAGACTCCTAAAGTTGGAAGAGATGTTAGCATATGTGATTTTTATAACATTTTGGACACATGGGGAGTTCCCTCTAGGACCCCAGACCGACCTCTATGGGATGTTAGCCATAATCCTTAGATGGCGAGTCATGTAGGCACTGAGAGATCTGCCCAGGACAGATGGAAAATTCCCTACCAGACAGGTTTGGGGATTGCTAAAGGAAAAAACCATTATACTGGAAAAGACACCTAATAGTGCTTATTTGTCTTGAGTCTCACACTTAATGGGGCAGTGATCAGATTTGACTGCACCCTTTTCTCTAGCCTCCCTTCTTTGATAGTCTAGGAAAACAAATGCATTATTTAGACTGGTCTCACACCTAGATTTAACAAAGCTATCAATGCCTTTGTCCTGGCTTCACCCAAGCTGTTTAGTC